GTCACAATGTATACCTATTGTACTCTTTATCTATACTAATATTATAAAGACGTAAAGTTTGTGAGTTTGTGACGTTGTAGAGGGTAATCTCTGGATCTACTGAACCGATTTAGATGAAATTTGGTAAGAAGATAGTTTGAGACCCTGGGAAGGACATAGGATATTTTTTATCCTGGAAATCCTCCTTTAAGGGGGAGAAAATGGGGATGAAAGTTTGTTCTGGTAAGCAAGCTAGGGACGAACCCGAATAAAGCGAGGATGCGTTGCTAGTTATTAATATAAAATTTATTATTCCTTTTGATTTTTTGTAGTGAATCTGAGTCATTATTCACATTAATGTATATTTAAGACTTGTTCTTGCCCACGGCATCGAATACGAGTAACGACAAAAAATATCTTTCACTGCATGTCGATCATCATGTATTTTCAATTCTTTTTTCTAAAAGTAGCCTCTTTCACTTTAGTGATAAACTTCCATCTACAAGTGTAAGTCTCGTAAAATTAATTCAGTTATTCCGTATATACGCAGGTACAAACAGACAGGCTGGCAAACTATAACGAGTGTTTGTTGTTGGTCGTGCAAGTCGTCAAAAAAAAAACAAAATAGAGCACATTATGCGGTAGTTACATTGAAGTGACAGCCATATTTGTTTAAATTTAATATACACATATTATTTTTATAACAATAACAACAACAAAAAACAAGTGTAGAATGCACATCTGTTAAGTTTTCCGTCGTATTTTCTCAATAAAATCGCGTTGCAAGCGCGTAGTATCTTCCAGTCTAGCCGACAACTCCATGCCGACTTCTTTCATTTTTTCATTTTAAATTAAAGTACTTGCAGAAGTATATTTAAATGTTATATGCGTGATTCAAATTTGAGAATATAATATTTAATTTTGAAAATTATACAACGCGAACGGAGCCGCGAGAAAACTTAGTCTAATGCACTTAAAAAGAGTATAACTAGCTGCTTCTTTTACTCCACAATGAGTCTCAATATTATTTTACATGTTTCGTAGTTTTACAGTGATGAAATCTCCAATTTTACATCATCCACCGCCTAAAATTTCGTCGGCGTCATTTTTAATTGGAAAGATTTCCAATTTTGGTCACTCGGACTTTGGAACTTGAATTGAACTTATACAAAATCTATGTAATATTCTTTCTGAGATATCGTGATTGGTATTTATTTCTCTTTTACTTATAAATACTAGTAGACCCGGCCACGCGTTGCTGTAGCACACTTATAATTCATTTAAAAAGGAAATAATCGGGAAAAAAACTATCATGTGTTTTTATGTTACAATAAATTACACATATAAAAAAAACGTGATATCGGATAAGTAAGTGGTTTCGGCGTTAATTGCGGACCAACATCGTGACACGGGAATTTTATATAAAAAGATGTAATTCAATTTAAATAACTTATTTATAAATTTTATTATAAACACATATTATATGTTTTATTTTATATATTAATTGTATGTATGTATTCAGCCCTTTTTAACGTCCCACTGCTGGGCGCGGGCCTCCCATCAATACGAGGGGGATCAGGCCATAGTCCACCACGCTGGCTAAGTGCGGGTTGGCGGACTTCACATGTCTTTCGAAAACTTGCTAGGTTCTCTCAGACATGCAGATTTCCTCACGATGTTTTTCCTACACCGTATGTAATCATGTTAGAAATAATTCGCACATGAAAATATCAGAGGTGCGAGACCCGGGATTTGAACCCGCTTCACTCGGTTTCCCAAGCAAGCGCGTTACTACTGGGCTACCACTGCCTGATTGATATATTAATTATTATATATTAATAACCATTACCATTGCCATTTACTCTTGACTCGGTGGAACGCAGAGCTAAAAAGCTAATCGGCGACGAAAAGCTTGTGAAAACTAAGCTTCACAGCTTAGCACACTGTCGCCAAGTTGCTTGTCTGTCGGTTTTCTACAGACTGTACTTCGGGGAGTGTGCCCACGAGCTCCACAGTCTCATACCGCCATCGCCATTCTTCTATCGGAACACCAGACGTACTGCAGGATACCATCCTTTCTTGGTTGATATTCCGACCACTCGCACTAAGCGTTATTCATCATCTTTTATAATGCGCACAGCCAAGAAGTGGAATGCCCTGCCTGCCTCTGTTTTTTCGAGTGCGTATAACCTGAACCTATTTAAGGTGCGTGTTAACAGGCTTCTCCTGGGCAAACTCGCTAGATCGTAGACCTTATCTTTGCCTTCGAGCATAGATGAAGGTCAAGAGTGAGCCCATTTCTAATAAAAAAAAGACCTCGAATTCAAATATAGTAATATTAAAATAACCTGTAAATAATCTCTTAAAAACGGATATGGTGTAACCGCATTTAATTGCACTCGCATTTAAAATTATCAATTTTCATGGTAATTTAAAATTTCCAAGTAAATTAATGTAGCATGAACATTTCGATTAAACAACAAACAAGGACGTTTGCGATGTCTAATGCAGTCCGATGACATTTGCGTTAACGAGGTTTCCTTTGCAGCGACGTTAACTCTACACTTGCTTTGTTCTCTGCTATAGTGTCATTTTGATGTTTAACTCCTTCCTTTGCTTTACAAAACGTATTCTATTATTATTGTGCATGTAAATTAATTTAAATGCATATCGATTAATTTATTTAACTTTATTTATTTATTTTTATTAAATTTATTTATATACATATATCGATGAAATTAATGTTATTATAATATTTAAATTGTTTTAAGTTAAATTGAAATACTCATGGTTTTATATTTCCTCATTAATGTCGATTTTTTTTATATATCATTATAATAAACAACTATTACAACAATGTTCAACATTAATTAAAATAAATCAATGCGTATAAGAAAAACTAGTGAGAAATAATTATATATTGTACTGAATTAACATGATCTTCACTATTATAATGGAAACGATCAACTTTGTTACTTAATTAATTACATATAAAGCAACACCATATACTTCAAAATCATACATTAAATATAAATAAATAAATATGTTGGGACATTAACACACAGCACCATCGAGTTCCATGGGAACCTGCGAGGCTTGTGTTATGGATACCAGATAGTTGATACACTACACATATATAACTTTAAATACATACATATTATAAATATAAACACCCATGACTGGAGAACAAACATTCGTGCTCATCACACATTGAATGCCCCCAGCGGGACTCGAACCCGCGACCGCTGACATAGCAAGTAAGTACACACTGAGTCAAACGTGTCGTCAGACAGTTTAACTATATATCATGTATTTAAGCAAATAACTGGTCGTTTATCTTGTTTTTAATTTAGTAAGATTAAAACAAAAACAATAGCCACTGAACAGTACTCCATTAGCAAGTTTAAATAATATGGTGTGACGAAATGATTTTTTTAATAATTTTAAGTAACCTACATACAGATGTTGACAGGAAAGCATGCAACCCGGCCGTATTAAATGCACCGTGAAATGCTCTTACAATTCACATGTTATTTTGTTATTTCAATGCAGAAGTCGAATTAAAAATATTCATTTTACCCGAATTCGCAAGCCATGTTTTCTGTCTGTCAGTGAAATAAAAAAAATAGACAATGTTTACTCGACGGTTCGAAGAGATTGATTTTAATTTAATGATTTCGATATTTTGGTAGCTGAAGGAAAAATCTGGTCATTTTGTAATAAGCATAGAAATATTGTCATGTCTATGGTCACTAAGTAGAAGATGAAATTTAAACGTGCTATTTATCTTGTTTATTGGAGTGAATGTCACATAAATATCACGATACCTGGCATCGTTTTTTAGATTGCGATCTGAAATAAGGTAGTCTTCACCCATCTGCTTACCCGAGGAAAAATATTTTATTTAGTGCTGTACATAATATGTAAACAAACATATAGGAGATATTCTTATATAAATCTCTACTATAACGTTTCATAATGTTGTAGAGTTTTTAACGTTGATTTGATTCTGACAAAAAAATAACTAAATTTCTTTATTTAATTATTAACTTAAGTCGTAAAGACAGACTAATAAACTGGCGAGTGACAACAGCAAAACTGGCAGACGAATTGTTTTATGTTAACTTTAACACGTTAAAATTAAAAGAACAATTTCATATAATAGTTTTATTAACATTAACAAAATAAAATTGTAATACTACGGTCATAAAGTGAAGATTATCTTTGAATGGAAAAAACTAGTCTATAAAAACACACGAGCCATTAATCTTCGGAAACGTAAAGGAGAACATCGAAAATAGTAGTAGAATAATGTTGTTTTTGTTTTGCAGTTAAATGATCGTATCTTTTCTCGTTTATAAATCGCTTGATTTATTCTGTTATTTCGTAGCATTTTGTGCTTTTATATTCAGATTGATTCCTCATACAAACATTCATCCCCATTTTAACCCCCTTAAGGGATGATTTAGAATAAAAAGTCCTTCCCAAGGTCTCAAACAATCTTCTTACCAAATTTCATCTAAATCGGTTCAGTAGATCCAGAGATTACCCCTTACAACCTCACAAACTTACAAACTTTTCCTCTTTATAATATTAGTATATAAGTATAGATTACAATAATGTTGTAATCTAAACTTCTATACTTATATTATATATGTATATACATTTTTGGTAGAGCAAGTAGCAAAGCAAATCTTATATTATCAATCATCAGTTTTTTATTACTAATGTATGAATATCGAATATTTTTAAGCTATTTTATTAGATTTGAGAGTAAAAAGTATTCGTTAAATTATAGTTTTAATTTTTCAAACCAAAATCTCGTCAACACTCAAGATGATGAACAAAAATAAATGTATCAAAAAGTGACAAACTGTGTGTTTGTAAAACTGAGTGTAATGTCGATAAATAACGTGATTTGTGTTAAAATGCAATGGGCTGGTGGAGGGGAGACTGTGGTGATTGGCTCTTCTGACAAGTTGTAACAAGATATTTTCAAAATTGGACGCAAAAAAGCAATCATGTCGGCAGGTAACGAAAACAGCAATTTTTAATTTTAATTTACTATGCATAGAAATAAAATGAGGAAAAACTTTCACAAACTTAGTTTTTACAACGTAAGCAAAAAGCTCTTGAGTGTAATTTTGTCAGACAGTTTCTTTAGCAAGAAATTTTAATATACACTTTAATTTTAATGTCGCTGAACACAATTTAAAGCTCCAAGATACGTAAGGCGCTTGTAAAGGCTTTGATATCGCGTTGCGAAGAAATTGCCGGCTAATTACACAGAAACTTAAGTTAACTAATTGATATAAGGGCCCGCTACGGAAACATTGCCTGTAACTTACAATTATGTTTATAGGTAACTTCATTTTTAATTTTTCTACTTTATAAGAAAAATAAATAGGGATATCTTTTAAATAAACAATACATATATACAAATAGTAGTTTTCTCATAAACTTACTATTTTAATTGTACTTTTATTATACTTTATTTTTAATTTATTGTTTACCATTTATTTTTAAATAAATTAAAAAGTTTCGTATAATTTATTCAAACATGGATTTGAAAAAACTGAGCTTTGCTGATCATTGAAGTTTATATTTGGAAGCAACGCCTATAGGGTTAAAATGCCTTTAGCATAACTAAATGTCAGTTTTAACATAAATTATAAATTCCTAAGGTTTTTAACCTTAGGAATTCTTTGGTTATTCTGTGATGAAATAAATTGTTAAGTCCGAACCACTTTTAACAATCGTAATATCAAATTTAGTTAATTGATATAATACATAAGATATTTTACAGCGGGGTCGGCTGTGGCTATGATAAACGCGAACCTGCGTTTCGGGCCAGCGGGTGCACCGAACTCTTCACTAGTCAATAACACCAGGCATTGTCCCCCGGGCGGCGCTGCCAGTGCGGCGGCTCTACTGGCGCTCTCTGGGCTGGGAATGTCAGCAAATATAGCGTTGATGGCGGTCATACTCAGCAAAAAACAGCTTAGAAGGTAAATTAATCAAGTTCGAGTCAACCCTTATCCCCATAAGGGTTGCCTAATAATAGGATTTTGTCTTAATTTCCTGTAGACTGTGTAAATGTCTCCTTGGTGTTGGGTTAAAGAATTTGTATTGCTCACAACCTTTTAATTTGATATATCATACAAATTAAAAATTAAATTTTACTTTTCTAACATGTTCTTCAAAACGACTGCAACGATTACGATATTTTTGAAGTGAAACTTCTTTAGAATTGTGATTTGAAACTCGATGAAACGAAAATGCGTCACGATAAAGAGACAAACACATAAATATATATATATTGAGCCGGCGAGAGAATTAGATAGAGATAAGAGAATACATTACACAGGAAATGAAAAATAATAAAAATTATACTGAATTATATATAATATAATATAATATATATGTTAATTAAAATAAAAATAAATTTTAAACTTGGTTAAAATATTATTAAAATAAATAACTTTACAATTATCCTACTCCACCAACTCTATATTCATCTCATTCTTTCGTAGGTTACTTTTCTGAAATTTCACTTCTACCTTGTGTGAATTACACACACACACACACGCACTTTCCGTATATTCAGAGGATATTTTCTTTAAACTTATCTTTTAGCTGTAACATATACGCGAGCCAGAACGATTTTTCATCGACTTATAAAATTATGAATCTTGTCTCACTTGTCGTTGACATCATAGAACGTATAAAATAACTAAATAGATTAAATAATATAATGCCTAGTTTATTTGAGAATTTGTCACCGGTTTTATGTTTTTATTTTATTTAAGCTGCTTTTATATTAGATTGCCAATTTTAGTTTTGCTAAAATTCTTGTTTTAGCTGCGAGCACGATACTATATTTTGTAAAGAACAAAGACAAGTAAGATGAAAAAATAAAACAGCTATAACGACAATAATATAAACTTAATAATAAACAACAGAGAAATATAAAGGTATTACATTAATCAGAGCAGAAATGTTATTTTAGTCCAAACGTAAAACAGGCTTAAAAGCTTACCCAGTGGCTGTATATCCTTTTATAATGTGGGATAGAAATATTTTGAACCGCAAAATAGTTATTCATAGCGACTTCTATTAAACATGTTCACGAATTTTTAGGGCAAAGTCTGTAGTTTTGACATATCGAAGCTATATTTTTAGCGTTCACCTATTTTCTAACTGCACCCATGTCAAGGATATTCTTGAACAGTTGAAAGTTACGGAACGTGGGGAATTTTACGAGGCATTTTATCATTTTGTTTGGGAAAAGAAAGCGTACAGAATTTATTGTAGTACAGATCTCGTTTTAGATTTTTAATCGTGTTTTGTCAAAATTACAATTTTTAATACATATTTAATCAATATTACCGCAATAATAAGTTACGTTTATCCGTCAGTCGATCCAATTACTGTATATATAAAAACAACAAACAATTACACTATATTATCCCAGAAAAAGAAAATCTCATTATAAAGGATAAAATGTAAAAATTCAATTTCATATTATTCTTATATATTTGAAAACACGAGTATACAAGAGTACTCAGAAAGTAAAGGACTTAGATGTTAACATCAAAATGGAATGGAATTTATTACTTTGATGAAATTACAAATGTTTAAGGAATTTTTCAGTTTCAACTACTGTCATTAGTTTTTTATTTAGTTATTAACTATAACTTTCGTCATTTTATTATGAAGCAATGTTTTCCTGAATTACTTTAAAAATTAAACTGTTAAATTGTACGCAAGGTATATGAGGAATAATATTAAATTTAATGAGATTCGATACGTAATCGTTAAATACAAGTGCACTCATATGCCTTCGAACTTTCGTTCAAAGATTCAAAAATATATACAAAATTTAGAGTAACCAAATTGGAACTGAAAATCAAACGAATACAGAGATATTCACTGTTGCGTTGCAACGTAGCAGGATTATGGGATAATCGTATCGAAACTCAATCAGATTAAGAAGAGCCAGAAAGCTATAACCATTGATACATGGCTATCCATCTAGTCGATTTCTAGTGATCTGAAAAGAATCAGAAAATGTTTAAAGTATTTTTCAAACCATTAATATTATATACTAGCAGAAACCGCGGCTTCGCTCGCGCTAAAACGACAAAAAATCTGTAAAAAGGTATTTTCATACAAAATTTCATCCTGTATTTTACCTCCTTATATGATGAATTATGAGAAATGCAAAAACACGTATTTATTTAATTTTATTGAAGAGTATTAAAACCAAGTTTCGAGTAATTCGGATTATGAATGTTTTTTTTAGATTGGATTGTAACGTGTTTTCCCGTGGACATTAGATAATCTCTCATGGTAAAAAGTAATCTATGTCACTCTCCAGCTCTCGCAACTATCTCCACATAAAAAATCACGCCAATCCGTCACTCCGTATCGACGTGTAAGAAGGACAAAGAAAGAAAGAAAGAAAGAAAGAAAGAAAGAAAGAAAGAAAGAAAGAAAGAAAAAACAAACAAACAAAAAACAAACAAACACACTTTCTCATTTATAACATTAAAAAGTATGGATATAGCGCGTCATTATTTCTTTTAAATTATTACAGACGAATTAATCGATAGAACCCTTTGTATAGAGATTGTGCGAAGGATATATGTTTTGGACAGATAATTTCTTTTTGTAGAGAAGAGAAAAGAAAGTATAAACATTTTTATACAGAATCTGAAACCACTAAGTTATAGGTACATTTAATATAGAAAAGTACTAGATCAGGACAGAATTAGGTCTTTATGATTTTTGGTTTCCTAAAACCACCCAAAAGCAAAAATCAAAATAAATCCGCGAAATAATCCGAAAAGATAGTTTTATTTAAAACTAGCATTGCCCGCGGCTCCGCCCGCGTTCAGGTGACCAAAAACCAAATTCTTAGTTTTTACATATTAACATACTCTTACATTGCAGTTTTTGTATTTTTTCTCAGAAATGAGACATTTTCCAGCGGTAAAAAGTATCCTATATGTTGATCCGGAGAACCAGCTATCACCATATCAAATTTCATCAAAATCCCTCCAGTGGTTTTTCTGTGATGCGGTAACAGACAGACAGATAGACAGACAGACAAAAATTCTAAAAACTATAGATTCGGCCTCTGTATCGATAATAATGTCTATTTCAATAAGATTTTCCAAGAAATATTTAATGTACAGATTTGACTCAGAATTTTATTATATGTATAGATGTCAAATATTCGCATAAATCTAAGAAAGTATTATTGTTATTCCAGTGAGTATGCATATAAAGTTTTTAGCGTGAACTAATAGTACAACAACACGTGTACGTTGAGCGAAGCGAGGGTGAGCTGCTAGTAATTACTAAAAAAATGAATCCCTATTTCCCTTAGTCACGCCATCACGCGTGAACGGTTGGCCCGATTTAACTAATTTTTTTTAATACTTTCTTAGATTTACGCGAATATTTAACATTTTAAATAAAACTATCTTTTCGGATTATTTGGCAGATTTATTTAGATTTTGCTGTTATTATTATAAATAAAATTTAAGAATACTTATTTAAGAATTCTTAACAGCCATATTAAAATTTATATGGCTAACGCTGGGTAATAACTATTTATATATATTTAAAACGTACCTAGCGACGAACCCGAGCGAAGCGAGGGTGAGCCGCTAGTTTAATAAAAAAAATATATACCTACTTTCTATTTTGGCCCAGTAAACTGCTTATTAAAATATTTTTTAAATACTTAAATTCTAGATAAACCAGAAGTAAGTTATGAATGAAGATTGTAATAACGGATTGTACTCATAGTTCATCTTACCAGTTCGTCTTGGGATTTTAATGAAAAATGCATGTCAAGGTTTACTGGTGCTTTGTTATGTGTGCTGGGACTGAAATGTGAGAGATGTAGATGCAGCTCTAAATAGATATCTGTTAGAAAGGTCATTGATATGCAAATAGGTCCATTTGTAGCTAAATGCAACAAAATTGATCTCGAATAGTTCCTCGTTAGGCATAACGTGCGACATTTAAGTACCTAAATTCAGTCTGAATATATTAATTAAAAGGTTAACGGCGTACCTATATTTCGAGTGAGACATAAACCACACGTGACTGCGACTGAGACTACGGTCTCTAGCGACCTCGCTTCACTCGGGTGCATGCCTAGGTGTTTAACAGTAAATAAATTATAATAAATCAAATTAAAAAAACTTAATTTTTCATCCATATAGACGTTTGGTATGACCAAACATACACACATATATACACACACATACGCACAAGCACACACACACAAATTTTCGTATTTGTAATAGTACTCCAGCAGCAGCAACTTGTTTGCTGTAACATTGAAAACGTCGTAATCAAAAATTAAAATACACTCGCAAAAATTCAAAAATGTTAGCTTTATTTAATATTAAAAAAAAAAGTTTTACTTATAAATCATTTAGTAATGTTATCTTTTTTGAAATTAACAAAAGATAGACGAGAAATATTTTATTTTTATTTTAATTAATTAGTATTTTTTACATAATCAATGTTTAATATAGAGTATAGACGTCTCATTGTACGTTAAATTAAATTATGTGTTCTCATAACTAACTACTGACTAAAGTTTGAGAATAATTGAATATTCTCTTGCGAAGGTTTGCTTTAATACCTAAATCTTGAATAAGATAGAGAAATGTCAAACTCGCATTTAGTGTAAGAATTTATGAACGTAAGAATAAATTTATAATGTACTAGCGGCTCACCCTCGCTTCGCTCGGGTTCGTCTCTAGAAAAGCACACACAGATCTATCCCACGGGAACCGTTCATTTTTCCGGGATGAAAACTAACTTGATGTTAGACCGGAAATATAAGGTATATGCATGCCAAATTTTACTAAATTAAGTGCATAAGTTGTTGTGTACTAAGCTGTATAATTTGTGTACTAAGCTGTATAAGTGATTATAGTTTTTTAACTATTCCACGCCAACTATTTAATTTTCCGGGATAAAAAGTATCTAAGATGTTGGCCGGGGATATAAGGTACTACCATGCAAAATTTTATTTAAATCTGTCCAATAGACTCGGAGATTAGCCCGTACAAACAGACAAACAGACAGAGAAACAAAATTTTTGAATAAAATCTGGATTTGTTCTATTTGTCTTCTTACATCCCCCTGACTCGGATTTTAGCATTTTTTTGCTATGTACAGACATTCGACCTCTACTGTTATATTATAGTATAGATAGATAAATATTTGCGTGCATCTTCTTCGCATACTATAAGTACGATGAGATGAGCTATTTTTCATTCTTACTATTTTTACGTTATGTATGTACCTGCCAGTGAAGCTCCCATTAAAGTTTTATTTTAAAGCTTTAATAGGAGCTTCACTGGCTTTAATAGCGAATAGCGAGTGCATTTTAACGCAAAATTAACATAACCTCAAAATATAATAAGGGCTATAAACCCGCTGTTTCGAATAAATCTAAAACGACGTAAATCTCGAGATGCCAAAACTCAGAACAAGATAAGACGAGGATTATTTACGAACGACCTCGCAACCAGATGGGGTGAATATTTTATGTTTCTGTAGAAAGCGACTTTATAAAGGTAGAAACAAGAATTTGCTTTGCATTTTATTTGTACTGAATTTTTTTTATGAAATATTACCCCAAATATCATTTTCGACCGATGACCGTCGCTGTATGACTGGCAGTGGTTACTACCCCAAAGTACACTGTTACATAATACTTTCTTAGATTTACGCGAATACTTGACATTTTAAATAAAACGAATAAATTTGCGAAAAAATCCGAAAAGATAGTTTTATTTAAAATTACACTGTTACATTTTCTGTCTAAAGTTATTTTTATTCTAAAAAAAAATATTCTGAAAGAAAATAGAAACAATGTGTTATATAAACTCGTAGTTATAAAACTAACTAAAAATAACTAATAATAACATCAATCAAGTGTTGAGAGTGAGAAATATTTCAAAGATTATCATAACATTAACGCGAATGATAACAAAATTCCAATTTGACAAGCGAATGTCACTGGTATATTAAGGTACTCTAAACTATCGGAGTGCATCAACGAAGGTTATATATCAATCATTGTCAATCGACGATGGATAGAGTGGCGTTCCTTTAAGGAGCGACATTTATCATGCCTCTGGTAATGTTAGTACATTAAATAGGTACTTTTAGCTGCATTAGTGAATAATTTGTAAATATTAAATCAACATAACCTGCAATAATTATTTATATACGAGTTATTTATATATAAGATGAGTAACAACTCATCTAATATATAAATAACTCGTTTCACGGTGTCTGTGGTCGCACTCCTCCAAAACGGCTCGACCGATTTTGATGTTTTTTTTTTGTATATTTGGTAGGTATGAGAATAGGTCATAAAGTATTTTTCATCCTCCTACCCCCACCCCCATTTGTTATCGCGATTTTAGTATTTTTGAATGAACAATATTATATAAATACATAGCTGTATAACATAAAGCCAAAGAAAGAGCTTTTTTGTAGATTGAACGCGGGCGTAGCCGCGGGATCTGCTAGTATTATATTTTATTATATATTTTTTATATTATATATTATTAAAAAAACCTTTTTTGTCTACATGATCTTTTATATTAACCATTCTATAAATTCTCCATTACATTTTCTTTTGTGCGTTCCGAAATCATTTCACGTAGTCCAAGATGTGGAGAACTAATGCCCATCCTAGTACGGACAGACCCTTTTATAGGATACTCCATGTGTTAACGCATTAGACCTTTCCCTTTTACAATTCGATACTACGTAAATAAAGTTTTCCGATCTTTTGAAGCGTTTTGTCAGTCTTAGATTTCAAATATAATATAAGATGTTTTTATAACTTATTAGATATGTGTTATATAGGTATTACGTGTTTTATTATAAATACAAATATTTATTTATTCTTTTAGGGCAGTTGAGAATCTTTTGCAAAAATAAATTGAAGAAGATATTCAAGATAACTACAAGAGAACATACGAATAATCATTCTTATTAAAATATTGCAATCTGCGTTTTCGGATTCCTTTAAAAGGAAGCTGTATAACCGTGTTTTCTTTTACTTAAGCCGTTGTCGAGCGCTTAGCGTTTGTGTGGAAAATATTTGCTTTGCGAACCACTTATTTTATTACAAAAGGAAGGTTCCCTTTTAGAAAAGAAATTTTCTAAGATAACGAAGTTTCTAACTTTTTATAAAGCCGATTCTATGTATTATATATTTTTTTAATTCAGTTGCGTTACGCTCTCCAAGCAAGAATCGGAAGTCCATTCAATTTTTAAACTTTTTTGGTCATTGACCCCAAACCGAAAGGCTTTTCGGATTTAGGTTTCGGTTATCTTCTTTAACCGGTAAAACCCGGATTACGGTTTTTGGTGAATTTTCTGCGTTACATTCGGCAAATCTTTGCTAATGGTGAATTGCATAGTAGAAGCATACATGCACGTTTTTTACTTATGAATGAACTGGTTTATTTCGGTATCAAATCCGAAATCCAACCTTTCTCTTACAATAACCGTTAATCATTATAATTTAGATTTACTAAACCGTTCTTTTAACTTTTGTGTTAACCTTTATTAACCGGCATTATACAAACCGGTTTCGAACCCTGCGAACGATGAACTAACCGTTACATTAACCTAATAAACCGTTTTTTTAACCGCTTCCGATCCCTGCCTCCAAGGTAGCAATAACAAGCAGAATACAAAAAAGCAAATATTTACTTTGCGATTTGTATCATGTTTTGGTTTCTGTGTATTTCTGAAGACAATTATAGCATTTAACTTAAACGAGTAACTTATGCTGTAATCTATTTAGTGACGAAATTAATAAAACAAATCGCCTATCCCTATTAACATTGTCGGATGTGAAAATCGGCAACTTTACAGGAGAGTGCGTCAAAGTTTGAATTGTTGATATTTTTTTAAATGTACAAGTTAGGTTAACAAAAATTACTTGTGGCTATTTTAAAAACTACTCGTAAAAAATATTTGTTTGTTGCAGCTACTAAAAGAAGAGACTTTTTAAGAGTGATTAGTGAAATAAAAAGAAAATGACAAATTTGCATATCCGATAATGTTAATAGGGATAGGCGAATTATGCAGATCAGAATATACTCGTATATATACAGAATGCACAGTATCATTCGCGACATCAATTAGTTACGTGGGATCAATTTTATCTTAAATTGCCAATACGTAAGAATATTTACGTTTTTTTAAATTAGAAGTTTACACGTACACTTTTTAATGAAATTAGTCACTTAAAAAGCTTAACGCCACGTAACTAGTTGAATGCAACCTATTATGAGTTAGACCTAAGTTAGAAACTATCTAGGTCGAAAATAGCGTTATATTATAATATACAATCTTTAGTTCCCGTTCTGTTAATATTATTATTTATTCTTCAATTATATTTATATTATGTATGTATTTAAAGTTATATATATACCTATATGTGTGTGTGTGTAGTGTATCAGTTGTCTGGTATCCATAACACAAGCCAAGCTTACCATGGAACTAGATGGTGCTGTGTTAATGTTCCAACATATTTATTTATTTATATTTTTTAGTCTATAGGCGTCACATGCATGTAAATACACGAGCTCCTTGTTATGAAAATTGGACAAGGTTTAAACTGACATTGCATGTAATTATTATAATATACCTACTTACATTTTAAATTAGACTAGCGGCTCGCCCCCTGTTCGCGCGGGTTCGTCCCTAGGTACATTTTGTTTTTTTTTGAACGCAACCCTTATTCTGTTACTGCTATAAAAGTAACCAAGTTATTCCTTATAACACCAACTACCTGCCAGTGAAAGTCCCGGCAAGATCGGCCCAGCTGTTTCGGAGATAAGCCGGAATAAACAGACAGATATACAGACAGACAAACAGACCGACAAAAATTAAAAAAAAAATTGTTTTCTTATAAATACCGTATATAATTTCATATGCGTTTAGTAAAAAGCTGTTATTTTGACATTTCAAACAGACACTTCAATTTTATTTATCTGTATAGATTATACATTAGTTATTCACTGAAAACAATAATTAAAAATTGTTTCAGTTATTTTAATATTATGAAATAGTAGGTTATGCTATTATTTTAAAGTATAAATGATATCTACTAAGGATTATTTTTTAATAATTTAATTCTTAATGCAGGTGGTCGCACGGACTTTTGTTTCACCAAGCGGTTGTGGACTGTGCGCGCGCTGCCATACTTCTGCCACTCGGCATCGCCGTGTTCCGATGTCAGCCTGTATACAAATGTTCACTGGTAGAAACTGCCTTCCTTTTACTTGTGAGTATACTTACAAAGAATATACTAATCTATACTAATATTATAAAAAAGAAAGATTTGATTTTTTGTTTGTTTGTACTGAATAGGCTCCGAAACTACTTAACCCATTTAGATGAAATTTTGTAAGAAAATAGTTTGAGACCCTGGAAAACACATAGGATAGTTTTTATTCCGGGTGAAAATGGGGATGAACGTTTCTATGGGGAAGCAAATTAGACGGACAAACCTGAACGAAGCGAGAGTGAGTCGCTAGTTAGATATAAAGCTATAAGTACATAAAAAATTTATAGCCGATGCTTTAGTTAAATAAACTAAGCTTTCAAGAAGAGTGTGGAAATAGATGCACGGGTTTCGAGGTAAATTCGTCAACGGAATGTTCGCCTTTTAGACGGCCAGTTAAAACAAGCTATTCTATCTGGCCAGTTAAAACAAGCTATTCTATCTGGGTTGAGCTTAACATTTTTATATACATTTATTAGAAAAGTTCATAAATACTAAAGTTAAAAAAAACATAATTTACAATCGCATAATTTGTATAATAAAAGTTTAACTTTCCTTCTCCGTTCTTAATGTATCCTGAATAAACTCACAAAGGAACCGCGCAGTAAAATATGAAACAGCTCGTAAAAACATCCCGTATTTTACATACATGTTCTTTTACTATGGAAATATCCAATTATTTTTCTGGACCGCAGCCAATTTCTACCTTTGAATCATATCTTTTAGCACAGAAACGCTTATTAGTGCTTACACTAAGCAAAGTTTAAAATTTTTACAAGTTCAAAATTTTTATGGGATTTAATACGTGTATATTTTAAATTTTACATATGAAAATGTAAAATGAAAACAGTTTATAATAAATTTTAGTATAAATTCGATGAGAAAAAATTGGATATTTAGTAATATTTTACATTTATTTAAAGAATTTTACATAATTTAATTTCATATTCTGAACCAAACTCACATAACGTTCTTATACATATTTGGAAAAGCCTCGTTGGTGTAGTGGCTAGCATGTCCTGGGTTCGAGTCCCGGGTCGGGCCAAGTTTAGTTATTGAGTCTTTCTGTATAGTAAGTCTCAGTAACCGCCCGGAGTTGGGAAGTTGGCGGTGATTCACCCCCGTGCCTCGGAGAGCACGTAAAGCCGTCGGTCCTGCGCCTTAACTCTCACCGGTCGTGTCGAGTAGTCGTCCCACCGGAGTATGAGAGTGACAGGAATAGAGAGTGCACTTGTGTCTGCGCGTACACTTGTGCACTATAATATCTCCTGCGCAGTTGGCCAGTCTCAATGAGATTGGCCGCCGTGGCCGGAATCAGTCAGGAGAACATCATCATTTGGAAAAGTTTAACTTGTAGACTTTTTTTGTGTAAGGTCTATTCATAAGCATAAGCAAACTTAAACGTATATTTTTAACTTTCCCTTATAGACTAAAATCAGTCTGGTACATACGCTTAATCAAAGTCATTCTAGACCAACAAAAAGAAGAGACTCCAATCGAATGAATACAAAGCGAAAACATACTTTGTATTTGTACTTAGTGTAGTTCCTATTAAAATCCAATTAATTATTACGTATACTTTTTAATTAATCTCAAGATTTAATTACAATGCAATGATATTTGCAATTGATAATGAATCGATTTCATTTAAGCAACAAAAAGGTTTAATATTCGAATACAGTTTATCACAGAGCAATTAATTATAATCTTTAATCAATGATTCCGATACAAAAGATGCCGGATCGTAGATAAACAATCCTGCCAATGGCTGTTAAATATTCATACGTACTAAGGGGATTCTAAGTATACGTACTTCATGCAGGAACAATGTTAATAATTTAAGTTAATATTGGTTAGGGAAACATGTACAGGGTTGTCATCCATTTTAATTTACAGCTTAAATTGCTGTTAACAACACCCGAAACATTGTAATTTTAAGTGTAAATAACTTAATGGATATATTTAAGCTTTGTTTTGTTATATTGCTTATATCTATTTTTTGTTTTTAATTAAGAATATCATAATGAATATAGTGTGAAAATATATGTATATACTCAATTATAAATCGATTTAGATTGAAGAGTTGGTAAATCGAGTTATAATTTCTTTTTAACCAAATAATGGTATAAACACACTGACTTAAGAGTCACTTCAAAGTTATTGTACTTTATTTTTTACTCTTGAGGTATCTATTCGTTAGAAACATAAATCGAGTATCAAACTCGAGTCATAACTGACTAATATACACTGCGCACGAAAATTATATACATAACTAAATTGAGTATGTCTTCCTGTTTATAAAGTTGAGATAAAAAAAATTAAACTACGTTGCATTTATTTTAAATTAAGTTGCTAAAATTAGTATCTATAAGTATTATAGTCATCCGCTTTTGAATGAAAATTTTCATAATAATTATGCCTCGCGCATTTTTCTGATTTGGCATCAAATTGCTACATTTAGCAGTACACTGGATACCTACGTAATGAAACATTTAGTAAAATCTGGCCAGGTGAAGTGTTTCTATAGAAAAGGAAGATTTTGTTTTATTTAAAAGGTATATGAAACTTATAGATTAAGTAAACCCAACCCTCAAACGAACAATGCATAGACAGATATTTGCTAAAACTATTTATATGCATCAACTTATAGAAAATGGTTTTACCTTTGAAGATATATAAGAAAATAAACTTTAAATTAAAACAAACCCCACAACTAAACAAGATTTGCCTATTTTATAAAAAATATATTGTTTTTAACATTTTGTTTCTCGTTTATGTACACAGGTAAATCTTTAGACTCCAGTTGCAAGATTTGACCAGAACAAACAAACATTGCAAGTGAAATATAAAAGCTTGTAAAAATACGAAATTTTATAAGTTGTAGTAGACCGTCATCAAGCTATGATGACGGTGTACACTCTACTCGAATGGCACCTATAAGTGCCCTGGGGAATTATATTAAACCGTTCTAAGTATTTTAGACTTTTTTCGTTCTTCAATATATTAGCTCGGCTGGTCGTAAAATATTTTATAGTAATATTAAAAACTAGTTTTTGCCCGTGGCTTCTTTCTTGAAGTAGATGCATTGATCCAGAATATTCATAAGTTTATCTAGTTTCTCGTAAAATACGATTAAATTAGTTGAATTTCGTTAGATTTACGTATCTTAAAATATCATATCAGTACACGAAATAAAATATAACAAGTTTAAAAACCTTAAATATAATTAATATAATGAAAATATTTTTGTGCTTATACTAATTTTGCAATATTATTGTACATTTAATATAGATGGAAGACAATTATGGAGACGACAGTAAAACATGTTCATATAAAAAAAGACAGTTTACATTATTAGTTTTTTCATTTATCTCATCTAGCTTTTGAAACTCTGCAGGATTTCAATTTCTTTAAAATAAGGAATTGGGCAGTTAAAACTTAAGTAATTGTTTGATAACTTGGAGTTTGTATTACTAGTTGGCTTCTGGAAGATCTTGTTAAAGTCTTTAAGTTATATCACTGAGAAACTTCGTACCATGGGATCGTGACCCCGGTTAAAGGAACGTGTCTACTGGCCAAGTTTAATAGCAACAGTTAAATGTAAATTCTGACTCACTTATGATTCATTTACATATTATACCCAAATTTCCTAAAATCTGGTGATGGTGACGTCAGCTATATAGAAAAATAGTCATGTAGGTATGTGTGTATGTATATTTAAAAAAGTAGATGGCTCGATTTTGTTGTTGAGAAAATAAACAGCGACTCGATAACATAAACCTGAGATATTGTTTTAAAGTATAGTATAAAATTATACAAATACATAGGCACATAGTAGGAATAACCTTTCATTATAATAAGTAACTAACAAAGTTTAGTTTTTAAGCAACGTTATAAAACTAGTATTTGTTAGTGGCAGATTGCCAATAGAAGCTTTGCGCGACGTTATGTTCAGAATCATGGGCATCCCATCGAATACGAAGCATGGCTGATAACAGCCATTGTTCTAAAATAGCACAAAAACCCTCTTGTCTTTACAACGCTGATACATCGACGCGACGTTTCGAAACCAAACTAGATTAGATTTTATACTCAACTTCGTATTTCGCCCATCTTGTAACTTAAAAGATCGTAAAACATCCATAAACTTTGAGATTTTCGAGTGTTAAAGTGTAAAAGGGCCACCGCTCTTCGATCCGATCTCGCTGGATCGCTCGAGGGAAAATATTTTTTCTTTATTCTTTATTTCTAATACAACGCTAAAGTTTCACATTGTTTCTTTGAAAGGTAAACAGTAAATAAGCTTGGCCTGCCGTCAATTAATTGAAACTTTTATTACTTTATTAGTTGGTTCGTTTGTTTAACGCTACACTCAACGAAGTACCTTTTAATGATGATGAATACTTTGAAAAAACTTGTTTAATAACTGCCTTTAGCTATAAATAAACGTGATAAAAAATAATACATGAAAAAATAAGATCTATTGAAGTTATACTTCTATTGGCACGTTTGGAAAAAGTATGAGAGTAAAATTTTTAAGACGCGCGCTCACACCGACAGCCAAAAAGCGACATGGTAAAGTTAACTGCATTCCTTTTACAAACAGAGAGTTGTGACATACGGGATGAAATCCTTAGCTATTTTTGTTCTGTTATTCCAAAGAAGTATAACTTCTTACGTGCGTACGTGAGTACACACACATGTTCTTTTTCTTTGTATCTAAATAAATGATATATAATTTTAAGTGTACTTTTAAAACTTATCACAGGTAACAGTATCTACAGTAAATATGCTGACGACGGTCCTCAACGACAGCCCCATTTTTCCTGAAAACGAAGAAGAACAAGCTGATTTATCGGCGCCCTTACTAATGGATAGTCCGCAGGTACTTTAGGCTCTTATTTTTATGTTTTGTAGGAGGAAAGGTGTCATAATAAATTTTACCAAATTACATTTAAACTAACTCATAAAATATACTACGTTTTATTTTTATGTGCTTATTAAAATATGTACATCCATACTAATATTATAAACGTGAAAGTGTGTTTGTTTGTTTGTTTGTTTGTTTGTTTGTTTGTTTGTTTGTTTGTTTGTTTGTTTGTTTGTTTGTTTGTTTGTTTGTTTGTTTGTTTGTTTGTTTGTTTGTTTGTTTGTTTGTTTGTTTGTTTGTTTGTTTGTTTGTTGTTTGTTTGTTTGTTTGTTTGTTTGTTTGTTGTTTGTTTGTTGTTTGTTTGTTTGTTTGTTTGTTTGTTTGTCCTTCTTTCACGTCGAAATGAAATGACGGATTGGAGTGATTTTTTGTGTGAAGATAGTTCGAAGAGGTTACTTTTTACCGCGGGAGTCTACCTAATTCCCACGGGAAAACACTTTATAATACAATCCAAAAAAAAGTTTTTGTTCAGAATGACTTAAAACTTGGTATTAATGCTCTACAATAAAATTAAATAAATACGTGTTTTATAGCATTTATCGAAATTCATCATATAAGAGGGTAAAATAGAGGATGAAAGTTTGTATGAAACTCCCTATTTTGAGATTTTTTTGTAGTTTTAACGCGAGCGAAGCCGCGGGTTCTGCTAGTAGGTACATACATCTTAAAATTTACTTTAAATTATATGATTTAAATTTAAACATATGTATACATTTATCAATTTTTATATTTAATTATATAAAACAAGTATCGTTGTTGCAGTGCGTCCTGTTCGGTACATTCATGATATGGTTCGCGTCAATTACAATAAACCTTGGGCCAACTTTCTTATCCGGAGCTTTGGCGGCAAGTGCAGGATCTTATGGTTCCTATGGCCCTTCCCCATCATGTCCCTTGGTTCGAGGACCGTTTAGACATTACGTCCTTAACGCCCTTTGGATAGGCGTCAACGCTGTCTGCGTTGGATTGACTTTATTCCATTTAAAGAAGCTTCATCGTGACCTCACTAAGGTTCGTAGCTATTATTATATTATGTATACTCAAATGCCACAAGCTCGGAGAAGTTTAACTAACTTGGGCGCTTCCACTGATGCATATTCATCCACTGTATTAAGTGTTATAGTTCGTTTCACTTCTCCATAATTAGATATATTGCATATCACTCATCGCTTAATAGCCAATAAAACTAGCGATAGCGACGTCAAGTAGCGCACAGTCAGTATTTTACGATTATGGCTGTTTAAAGTTTTGAGAAGCTGTGCGCTACGGTCGTTGTACTCGCAACGGTGATTATATATACGTATAAAATCAGTTGGTATATCGCCAAAATTCACGTAACTTTATGTATAAGATTTAAATTTTCGCGCAAGAAATTACTCGGCTATATGGAATGCACGTGCATTCCGATATATAATATAGATTGGTTTATTTGACAAAATTGGTACATACATGTGGGAATTGGGATAAAATTTAAATCTTATCGCATGCAGGCTAACGTAGAAGCTGTTCGAGTAGCTGGTCTAGTGACCACGCTCGTCAGTATGGCCGGAGACAATAGGCGTATGGATTCGCTTCCCAACAGCGTTGGACCGAGGGTATGTAACGTAACGCATGCACTGCATGTATAGATCTATCATCTCTTCAACACTTTCAAGCATGGACTCTCCAAACCGCTCAAAGCCCCTGTTAATATATATACCAATACCTACTATTAATAAACGCATTCCGATCTAACCCTTCGTATTCCCAATTTGCAGTTGTTTGGGAAATAGAAAATCTTTTTGAAAATTTGTAGCATTTTTATCTCTAAAACTCTTTACTTAAATAATCAAATTTAATACGAATTTGATCTTTAAAAATACTATAAACTCTAGAAAGTAGGCAAATTTAATAATTAAAATTTTAATGAATTTTTTGCTATAACTAGTGATATTTAATTTGAAATACTTTTCTTGGACACCTTTAGATACTTTTAAACTCTTTAATTTCAAAATCTTTAATACTATATTTTACCCCTTTTCTAGTATTTTTACATTGTAGTAACATAGATAAGTATAACTTATTGGGATTTGTTTTCAGACAGTAGACGGTGCGTTGGCAGACGGTCAATGCCGTCCCACCGGGAGTGCTAACTTGCCTCTCGGAGGAGGCCGCAGGTTAAGAGGATATCTTGCAAGAGTAGAGCGCGAAGGAGTACGACGTGTACGAATGTTCCTAGTTATTACTGCAGCTTATGTCCTGTTCTGGGGACCACTATTTATTATAACTCTACTTCATCACCCGGCTTTGACATCACATGTAGCGTACGAGGTGAGTTTCTATAAAAAAAAATTTCTTATATTTTTACAATTGGGCTATAACCATGTTGTAGCGTTTTCGTTAATAATAATTAACCAAAAATAGTGAAATTAGGTATCTCTATTTCCAAGAATAATGAAATTAATTAGTCTCATCATAAAATTAGTTATAATTATTCTAAATAACTTAACTTTAATGGTATTAGTAACTCGTACGAAGTACTATACTGATTGCCTGTTCACTTTGAATACGTAGAATGCTAATCTATATTCGCAACGTTTCTTACATAGATAAATTCATCTAGTTTGAATTCAAATATTACGAGTATATTAGGGACGTACGTTGGAAAATTACAGTTCTGAAGATACTAAGAAGTCGTATACGTTATATTTGTTAAGGAGCATAAATTACTAAGCCGAACCCTAACTCATTTTGCTTTAATATATATTCCAAAACGCTTAGCCTTTTTTATTTGTTCCATTATCGATTATCGTAATTGTATATTGTCATGCTATTGTCATGCATATACGAGTATGTATTAGTATTACACCCGCAGCGTCGCTCGCGATGGCAATGTTTTTTTTTAATTTAAATACAACTGTGTTTGTATAGTTAAACTGTTTGAATTAAATTCAAATTTAAAAAAAAACTATATTAAAATTAAAATTCAAAATTAAACATGTCATTTCTTATTGTAAATCCAAAAGCGAGTGACGTAGTAAGTACCAGTTTTCATTATTTTCTTCTTTAGAACTTAAGAAACAAAGGAGGTTGGATAAAATCTTTAATACTTTAAACCTTTAGAGAACTAAAACGCTTAAGCATAATTTCTGTAGAATTTGTCTGCAGAAATTCGGTGTTAACTTCAAGAATGATATTTTGGCAGAGCTTTGAGTAGAACTTAAAATTTTATTTCATAAAATAATAATTTCAATATGTTTACTATACTTTTGTAAAAAGCCTGAGTTTTGGACAAAAGTTTAAAGCACGTGATTTAAAGGAAAGGATTGATGTTTTACACTAATTAATCTAAAATATGCGATGTAACGAGCTTAAATTAATTTAATGTAATGAAAAAGTTCTCACACTTTCCACTTGTTTTAATAAATTAAAATAGCGTTGCCTAAATAACGTCAGCATGCGACACCTGTTGTTGCTAATTGCGTTCATATAAATTATTATTATCGAGCGACGTGCAAACTTAATTTGACAGTTAAAGTATTCTCAGAGTTAATTAAGAAATTTCTAAAGTTTGAAACTTTTATCCCATCTGCGTCTTTGATTCTTTAAATAAATTAAATGCTCTTAAAACAATAATATATTATCTTTAAGATGGATGATTGTAACTTAAGCTTGTTAGCTTACAACATGGTGGACTACTACAAGGCAGTGGTAGCCCAGTGGAAACGGAGTGGTAACCGAGTGAAGCGAGTTCAAATCCCGGGTCTCGCACCTCTGATATTTTCATGTGCGAATCATTTCCAACATGATTACCACTTGTCTTAACGGTGAAAGACAAGAATATATTTACTCGCAATTGCGGTGTGCCTATTAAATCGCGCTGCTATAATGCTCTAAATATTTATAATAGATACCAGTTTTTAAGTTTCTTCGTAAAGCTGCATTCGGAAATAACAGTTTATTGTGTAAAAAATCAAAATGAGACCTTTAAAGAATTAATTGTCGAGTCCCTAATGTTATTAAATAATATATGTTAGGTAATTTAATACAAGCGTTTGCATTGGCACGATATTCAGCCAGATCTGGAGGTTGGTTTTCGTGCCCCATACAAGACTCAAGTAATCATTCGTAAAGGCCAAAAATTGAACATTGCAAATGATAAATATGATACATCGTCCAATAATCCAACTTAAATGCGAACAGTTCGTTCGTTATCCAAAACATTGTAGTACATAAACAAGTTTTTAAGTAAAATTATATTTTCATTAACAGTTATACTTTCAAATCACACTCCACATCTCGTACGTGCACGCGGCTGTAAACCCTCTACTGTTCCTCGCGCTGCACCGGGCTTTGCGCCGGGCGACATTGCAATTGTGCTGCGGTTGCTGCGTTCACTGGAGTCAGTTTGTTCTGGCTCTCACTGCAGCCGGTAAGTTATCTAATGAAATAAGTGTAACATCTTCTTACATATTTGTACATGAAAAAAAAATACAATGATTTCACATATGTATGTATGTATACAGCCCTTTTTAACGTCCCACTGCTGGGCACGGGCCTCCCTTCAGTACGAGGTTATATATTTCTTTATTTTTTTGAGGTTATTTTACATATACTATTGTATAACAATGGGTGGGCCAGAAAGACGTGCGATTTTGAAAACCGCACTGCTCCTGAACGGCACGAGTGGGACGCGGCTAGCGGGCATTATATTCTTTACATATATACATATGTGATTATTAGTGTTAAAAGTGGTTATTAAAGATCTATAGAGTGATTAATTTGATTATGAACCGACGGAAATTAAAAATATTAATGAATCAAATTAAAATTATTATTTTTTTAAAATTTGTATTGTACTGAAAATATATAGGTAATAAATTACGCTCGAATCCACAATTGAGCAACTTTTTGGAATAAGTCCAAGTTCTGCATTATAATTATTTTTGAAAAGTATTTATAGGTAGATAAATCTTACATTATTTTTCTTAATGGTGTAAACACTGTATGCGTTTGTTTGTTTTGTTGTCCAATATTGCGATATCAGCGCAAATGTAATTAATGAAAAAAATAATTGAATGGAACATTAATATACCTATCATGGTTTTAATGATGTCATTGATTGAACTTTTCGATTTATTTCTAAACTAGCGACTTACCCTCGCTTCGCTCGGGTTTGCCTCTAGAAAAACAAAAGAAATCTATCCCTCGGGAACCGTATATTTTTTCGGGATAAAATGTAGCCTATGTGTTATTACAGACTATAATCTATGTCTGTGCCAAGTTTTATCCAGATCTGTTCAGCCGTCTGGCGTGAAAGAATAACAAACATCCATACATACTCACAAACTTTCACATTTATAATATTTATACACATGTAGGTACACATATAATAACAAGATTAGTAAGGTAAGGATGACCAATGCATCAACTTATAGCCCAGTCTCCTCTCGCACCGTCATCTTTCTCTCCGGCGGCGGCTTCTCCCGAGCCTCCCCCCGCGCCCCCTCCCCCGATGGCGCCGCCCGCGCCCCCGCACTCCGCGCCGACGCCACACACGATGATGGTAATTACCTCTTATATGTAAGTGTTGACACCGTAATACGTGGTTTATACTCGCACGACCCGCACGCACCCCTAACCCCTATCGAGTTTTATATTGGCCTTTGCATTTTAGTGAGCACAATTAGAGCCCCATAGACTAGCTCTAACAGTGTTTTATATTCGTTTTGTTCATATAATCGTAATAATTGCTTGATTCCTCTTCATATATTTCAATTTATTCAGTGCGAACGTGGTCGAGCAGCGAAAGAATGCTCGGAACACGTGTGATGTATCGACCTCGTTATGAGATTTTATACCAGACTAACTCGAGGGAGAATGAGCATTCGCTCGCTTTGTGTAAACCCAGCATTAAATTCTTTGTAATAACCATTATATATGTCTGTTTGTTTACTCCCAACTGATCGGATTTTGGAAAAGTTCTGTGTGTATAGCTTAGTTGGATGATTGGCTTCAGAAACGAATTGCATGTACGTGTGTCAGTGGCGTAAAAATTGGCTGTCAATGGTAGTGTGATAGTCCTACTCCTGGTAAAATGATCTCAAAATCTCGATCTCAGAGTTGGGAGGTTGAGGAGTGTGATGCTGAGAGTATGTCGAGTGCGCGTGTGCAGGGAGACGAGGATATGATGCAGTGGAGTAGTGTGCGGAGGCCGCCGTCGCCGAGCCCGCTCCTCCCCGCCGTATGAGGCGCCCGCCACCTCGCCGCACGCAACATATCCTGCCCGCCTTCCGTGCCCCCACTATATCAACAGCTTCGTTCACGTCGTTCGATTCTTTCTACGTATATACATAGCATCTATCTTATGAATGTTTGTAATATTAACATAAGTGTGTTTTAAACTTAATAAAATTAACTCGTAGCAAATAAATGTCCCTATTTATAGATAGTTATATATTGTAAATTACAATACGGAAAGCTCAATTCTAAACAATTAACGTAGCAATAAACGCATTGACCACGACAGATTCATAAATATAGATTAACCATAAAAATATTTTTGTGGAATATAAACCTAACATATAACACCAAATTAAGGGTATCCCCAACAGGTAGTTTTGATAAGTAGTCGTAAGAACTATATTACATTAAATATTTTTAAAATATCAGCTTACTGTTGTACTTCCGTAGAAGCAAAATATTTAACGTTTCTTTTGTAAATAATTCTTACAAGATTTCATTATTTTGTGTAAATTAATATAAATCCAGTTAAATCTGAATGTTTTTAATAACTTTATTATTATGTAAGTACTTAGTTGCTTAAAGAAAAATGTGGACGGAAATGGTACAATGACAACAGAAAATATATTGGTTGGTATAAAGCATATCTATCCAAACTTTTGATATTGTTTCTGAAATTGGCAAAAGTATTTTGTTCTATAACAATGCTTAACTTTGGTCACATTCTATTGTTGAAGTGTTCCGTCTACTTATTTCTTTCGCGAAATATTATCAAATTATTAAATAAAAAGATGTCACTGTAAATCTATTAGAGTAACTTTTATAAAATTTTTGATTTCTTCCATATTCTAGAATATCGAACGAGCGTCTGTATATTTTCATCATTTTGTTCTCACATCTACTAATAATTAATAAATATACATGCATATATTTTAAAATACATTTTAATTAAATATCTCTCAAGACTGATTTGATTATTTTGACTTAGATTTTGTTAAACTAGTTTACGAATTGAAAAATAAAGGGTAAAAACGTCCCACTATTAATCTAATGAACTCATCTAATTTTTAAATCGTGCAACCTGTGCTATGTAGCGGTATTTGATTTTTTTAATAAGTAGGCTTTTTAAATGTATATAAAGCATATTTAGGTACATAGATTAAATAATTAAACTTTTTTTTCAAATTTTTGCAATACATGCTATGTAGTTTTTGCCCGAAGACTTTACAAATCACATGTTTAAAGTTACACCTTTTTGTAAATTTCAATCTTCCATTGGTTTCACAATAATAGTAAAGAAGTGCCAAAACAGTGCTCAATAAATAAATTCAGCCAAATATTTTTTGTATTAACAATTTACTTCGCTACTTCTTCTTATTTGATATATTGCTGAGAGTAATATTGTACCGTGCGTTTATATAACTTAGGCTACGAATTTATATAATTCTGAATAGCTAAATGTACATCGATATACTAAAAGGGTTGTAAATAAAAATATTTATATAAAATATTGAAATATTAATAAAGAACTAATAGAAATAAATATATAAAAATTATATGTGTTCTAATAATAAAAAATAAAATAATAATGTTAAAATATACAAATAAAGAAAATAATATATTCCTCGTGTTTTATTATACTTACCTTCTATCAGACACAGATTTTATTTTATAAATGAGCGTGGGAGTTGAAAAATCAGATAAAACCGAAAAATCTTATATATTATTAAAATATTGCTGTTGATTATTAAAATATATCGAATGAATTCAGTAGCCACCGCTTAGCTGTACCTATCATCAGGTCAGGTCGATGGTCCGAGATTATTATCCGGATTTCATATTAGTGCAAGATCCCGATCTATGTGGTGGATCCCTCACTGTTTTTCCAGGCGAAATTTACTTTTTACCAATAAAATATATTAACAAACACGACTCAGGGGGTTTGTCACCAAAAATTTGCTCCAGGCTATTTTTTTAATTGTTTTTTTAAAGCATAATGAAAGGGGATCTTAAGACAAGATAAAGTAACATAAATTTTCGTAAGAGACTCGAAAAGAAAATAAAAAATATTTGATTTTTTTTGGCCACCTTATTACTAATATTTATATATTATGTACATAATATGTTACATTGGCGATAGCCACTCACCATCAGGTGAATCTTCTGCTCGTTTGCCCTTTTTCTAACTATAAAAAAAATATCTTTAAATGAAGTGATATGAATATTCGTTTATTTCATTATTGTAATAATCTAACTACTTGTGTAATTATTTCTACACAATATACTGAAAGATCACCTATTTCAGTTCACTCATAGCGAATTCCTAAAACATAACATTTATTTCTGTTTGAAGCTGCCGAACAAAAGTCAATTTGGACGTTTGAATAAAATTGATAACCTTCATGTTACGAGTGAATTATATTGAATGGATTTTTGTATGTAGCAAGAAAGGAAATGCTATTTAAACTAAAACTTATTATGTCACAATATTTATTGGTAGTTTACACCATACTTATTAGGTAGTGAGTTTTTTTCTCTATGTGTACATATAATAAAATTGTAATTGATTACTGTCTGTACATGGAATATTTTTGAGAAAAACTATTATTTTCAGTCTTTATTAACACAATAGAATCCAAAACAATGATTTTTAGAATTTTTGTCTGTTTGTCTATGCGTTTGTGCGCGCTAACCTCAGAAACAACTTAACCGATCTGAGTGCAGTTTTCATTAATGTATTGTGGTAAGCTTCACTTAATATTAAGTATCTGTTTTATTTCAATCAGAAATAAAACAGTTATGTCAATTTAAAAAATCAACTAGGGACGAACCCGAACGATATGTGGGTGAGTCGCTAGTAATATTAATAATTAATGTGCTTTGTTTCTGATCATAAATTAAATATAAGTTACTTCTCGTCAGATTAAAAGGACAATTCTTCATAGTATGGTTTTCACATTATTTTCGACTTTTCGAAACTTCCAGATACAACACAACGCCTACAAACACCTGCATAACAATTGTTATGCATACTTTATATATGTTATAACTCAGAAACAATATTTACAAAAATATATTTATTTGCTATTTCCGTTGCAATGTCGTCAGAAAACAAAGTAGCTTGCACTAACATTGTTTGTTCAACTCGGTCAATTCGTCGAAGTAGAGAAGGTAGAGACAGCAATTTCATGATTGATAATTCAATTTGCTCTTGTACGGGTCCTCTAATCCCCCAATATATGGCACAATTTAAACTTAGTAGTCTGAATTTTGTAAGAAATCGATACTTCTATACTAATATTATAAAGAGGTAAAGGTTGTGACGTTGTAGGGGGTAATCTCTGGATCTACTGTACAGATTTAGATGAAACTTGGTAAGAAGATAGTTTGAGATCCTGGAAAGGAGGAGATCTTAGATGTCTCGAAGGTATAGTTGTTACAGACAGCCTACCCACAATTAACAAAATGAAAAATTGCACCAAGTACGGACTGACTACACTGACATTTAAATGTCAGTGTAGTCAGTCCGTGAGGAATCCACCACCGGCTCGGAAGGCAGTTTGCTGTTTTTTTTGTACGGGACTAAAATGTATGCGAAAGTTTGCTTGTGTGTATGTTTACGCTTTATCCTATCGATTTTATCCCTTTACGCTAAAACGGCTAAAATGATTAGGATAAAATTTAGTACACAGATTAGAACCTGCAATGGCACATTGGCTATGGTCAGGCACGCTGGGATGCAGTCAAGTGATGATAAGTCGCTAGTGTAAAATAGTATAATTTTGTATCGATACTATTAATATTATAAATGTGAAATTGTGTTTGTTTGTCGTTTCTTTCACGTCAAAACAGAGTAACGGATTGGCGTATTTTTTTTTTGGCTGGAGACATATGTAAGTATAGATATACTTCTTACCGCGGGAGATTATCTCATTCCCACGGGAAAACACGTTATAAATCACAACCCACAACAACACATCATACCGATTTGTATATGTAATTACACTATATTTATATATGTAATTCCATTCTAACAGTTAAAACACATCTAGGGAAGAACCCGAGCGAAGCGAGGGTGAGTCGCTAGTAGCTATAAATTAAAGAGAAATAGAAGATAATATGCAAATCTCGCAGATATGAATAACGTCATAATATAATTTATGCACAGCGGAAGGAAGTTCATAGACATTTGTTACAGTCACGTATAATGTTATAGTTATTGTAATACGTTGCATATAGGTAAAACCGTACAATACAATTATCAGTAAATAACTCATGAAATGACTCCCGGAGTTAGACCAGTGGACTATAAGATTTGGGTCACTCTTGACTTGGTTTGCGCCAAGGTCATATTTCGTTCAAAAGAAGAATTAACTGTCACTAATTGATATATTTTAGAAACTTTAAATACCTTTTCCTTTTACATTATATTATATGAATATAAAATGATTATCTTAATAAAAGTTAAATAAAAGATTCATTTATCATGGTGTGCTGCGATGATCAAGTACTCTTCCTATTCCCATTGAATAAAAAGTTGTATTAGTTTTAAAAATATAACGTACTAGCGACTCACCCTCGCTCGGCTGTGGTTCTTCCTACTTATGTTTTAACGTTTAGTATAGATTTCTCGGAGATGAGATATTTTCCCGCAGTAAAAAGTATCGTACATGTTGACCCGGATAACCAGCCATTATCATACCTCGTCAAAATCCCTATAGTGGTTTTTCCGCGATTTGGTCACAGACAGACAGACAGACAAAAAATCTAAAAACTATAGATTCGCGTCTGTATCGATAATAATGAATATTTCAATAACATTTAAAAAAAATGTTTAATGTACAGGCTTAACTCAGAATTTTATTATATGTCTAGATTATTTGTACACACACACCCACACACATGAAACACACACACACACACACACATATATATATATATATATATATATATATATATATATATATATAACGGTACATAGTATGATAGTCGAACTTAGCATTA